AGAGAGAGAGAGAGAGAGAGAGAGAGAGAGAGAGAGAGAGAGAGAGAGAGAGAGAGAGGTGCGATGGTGGCCGGAGGAGAAGCCTAGACGGGGACGTCCGAAGTCGGCGGTCCTTCGCGCTTGGAGGGAAGGTGGTCGGCCACAAAGATGATCGCCCAATCTTTTAGGCCGATCGGACGAGTGCTTAGCAGGGATCGACCGACCTGCGACGCCGAAAGCCTCCCAGGTAGGACCCGGTAGCGTTTCCACAACGAGCCCACCGTTGAGGAACGAACACAGGATGTTGTCCGAAAACTGGCGCTAAAGAAAAAAAAAATCGATTTGTTTTCCATGTTTGGAATCGATGCCGAGCCGGATGGGAGTCCCGATTTCTTGGGGACAAACCGAAACGTTGTTTTTTTTTTTTTTTTTAATCAACAATTCATTATGATATCACCACGAGGCAGGGGACCTCACAATTTCTACCCAGGGTACTGACAACATCAGCCAGCTTAGCTTACAGACACTTGTCTGCGGAACTCTACACTGCCTATTGAGTTCCAACTTACCTTGTCTGAATTCTGCTACTCGTTCTAAAGGCTATTCTCTCGTGGAAAATTTATGTAAGTTCTGGAAGGGCTTGAAGAAACTTCCCTCACAGCGAAACGCCGCGATTATGTGGCTACAATCCATGAATAGTACATCTACAGCGACATGGTTAAAGGCCAGGGGACTCCCCATTCCAGAAACATGCTCCAAATGCAACTAGGCGTGGGAGTCAGCCTCCCATCTCAGGCTGTTTTGTCCCAAATCATCAGAGATTTGGGAGTGGTGGAAGAATAGATGGAGACTCCTGTTCGACAGCAACGAGGAATGGTCTGAGATCTTTATCCTACAGGGCATACCAGACAAGGCGGGCCCAATTGTGAGTGGCAGGAACTACATCGAAATTACTTGCAGGGGGATCATCTTGGCGGCCATTTGGTGGGCCAGGAACGACCTCATATTCAAAGGGGAGATTCATGCCACGAAACATATCTGCAACAGAATGATATGGGATATTTGGACCACGGTAATCTCGGACTGGAGAGGCAAAAACTTCATCTGGTTTGGTAAGACATGGGCCTGCAAAGGATCCTTCGCCTCCCTGAAGGCTGATGGTAACATGTCGTTAGCCAGTTGGCTAATGAATACCTGATACCCAGGGTAAGATTTCCTCTCTTCTGTTTTTTATGATTTTTGTTTACATTTCTTAGTCCAGTTGCTAATTATTTCCTTCAGGACGCTGGACCCGGTTTCCAGCCGAGTCTAAGCTGGGTATTGGCCCCAGTTTTTCCTCCGGGTTGTCATGTGGAGGTTTTCCCGGCCTCTGATCCCTTTTTGGAAATAAAGCTATCCTTCTCAAAAAAAAAAAAAAAAAAAAACGTTATGGTACACTGAAGTTGCACTCAGCACATATTGTGGTGTGGATCGAACCCACCTTTACTGCGGAAGAATCCATTCTGGTTCTTACCAGGGTATGAACCTTGAGCCTACCACCAGCTTTATAACTAAAATCTACTTAATTCTGGGACTACGGTAGCTCGGCCCAGAGGACAGAGTCCGGATCCTATTGACACTCCCCTAACGGCCCACAGCGGCCTTATTCAACCGAGTGCCCTGGTTGCGCCTACAGGTCCTCATTACTTACAGCGGCCTTATTCAACCGAGTGCCCTGGGTCCAAGTCCCACTTACCCGAATGATCGATTTCTGACCGCAGATTCCGAAGATCAACGACTAGAAATCAAGGATCAGCGTAAGTGGGACTTGGCCCCTGGTTGCGCCTACAGGTCCTGATTACTTCTTTTCTTCTGTGCTATCTAACCCTATGATCCACGGGGAGAAAGTTACTCCCCTCTGGCTGTGCATTTCCACCAGTCGGTCTCTCCTAGTGTCTCTCCTAGCCCAGGTGCTCTGGAACCAGCGGTACTGAAATTTACTCCCTTTGCCTGATATCACTCTTTTCCGCCAAAACATTTTAATTTCCCAAAACTGGCAGAGGTACTGCCGTCTTCCCCCGAATATAACGCACCCTAAAAATGAATGTATACAAGCTATGTTTCCGGCCAGATACAGCCAAATTAAGGGTGCGTTGTGTTCGGGGGAAGACGGTAGTGGCTGCCACGGCAATGGCTCGGTAGTCCAGGTTCGGGGATTATTTCGCTTCGGCAAAATCAGGCTCGGATGTACTGGTGGTCTAACCGCCGCTGTTCCCACAGCCCCGCCTTCCAGTACCCCTACCCACTCCCGTCGATCCCCTCCGGCCCCCGCCGGGCCTCTTGCGCAGCGAGCGGAGGGTGTGCACTGGGGTATGCCAAGCTCAGCGATGTCGTCTTCGCCGAGGCTCACGGCGGCCGCCAGCGTCGGGCAACTGCGTGAATGCGAGAAGGAAGGAACGAAGTGGTGGGATCTTGACGGTGTGGGATTTTTTCCAGATCTTCATTATTTGTAATCGAGAGCGCTGACCGCCGTAGGGAACTTAATGCCGAGTGGGAGGTCGTCGTGTGCGGGTGTTGTGCGTAAACATTGCCTTTACGTTCGTCGTAAGGGGTATATACGACGGCCACTCACATTCTTCATCTGTGGATGAACCTGATGAGTGGATAAGAAGAGAGAGAGAGAGAGAGAGAGAGAGAGAGAGAGAGAGAGAGAGAGAGCCTTTACGTTCGTCGTAAGGGGTATATACGACGGCCACTCACATTCTTCATCTGTGGATGAACCTGATGAGTGGGTAAGGAGAGAGAGAGAGAGAGAGAGAGAGAGAGAGAGAGAGAGAGAGAGAGAGAGAGAGTCAATGGGAGAGACGAAGGATATTGTGGGAAAGCCATCTTCTACTTCTCCAGCCTCGGTGGTTATGAAGCGAAAGGGCAAGGAGCAGGAGGAGGCGGAGGCGAAGGCAAGGGGGGGGGAGGAGGAGGAGGAGGAGGAGGAGGAGGAGGAGGAGGAGGAAGATTTTGATGGCGATAAGGATGGCGGAGGTTGGGACGACTGGAAGGAGGAGGAGGGAGAGGGGGGGGAAGTGGAAGAAGAACCGGTGCCTTGCCTTTTCTGTGATCTGACTCTCTTTTCTCCTGCCAGCGCCTTCGCTCACTGCGCGACCTCTCATGGGTTCGACTTTCGCCATCTCCGCTCTGCATTGAAGCTCGATTTCTATGGCTGCTTGCGTGTCCTCAACTACGTTCGTGCTCAGGTCAGTCATACCCTTTTCCACATTACCTTATCTAATCCTGCCTTATCCGATCTCGTTTGATCTGATCTGAACTGATCTTGATCTGAACTGATCTGATCTGATCTTATGTAATCATATAGTCGGTCGGAAAGTTGGTGGTGGTCCCCGCGAGGCGGATCTGGGAAGAAGCCCCCTGAGGCGTGAGTGCCAGGAGCGCAGCCTGATTAGTCGAAACGCGTCGGGGAAATTGCGCGTTGCATACTGGGATCTGTACATGCGGAGAAGTAATTAAATGCAGATCTATCGTTGCTTGTACGAGAAGCAGTCTATGACCACTGTTTTCACTATCTGATCTGATCGTATCTAATCTTATTTTATCTTATTTAATCTTATCTTATCTTATTTAATCTTATCTAATCTTATCTTATTTGATCTGATATGATCTAATCTGATCTCGTCTTATCTTATCGTTTCTGATCTGATCTGGTTGAGCTGAATCTCATCTGACGTCGTCCTATCAAAGACGTTATTATCTGATCTGAAATTACCTTTAATCAGATCTTTGCGATTAGTCTCCTCGCTTCCTCTTGTCTTTCCGTTATTCTCGGCTTCGATTTCACCTCCCATCTCCCATTCCATCTGGTCCCGTTATTCGTTCTCCCTCTTTCACCTCGCTTCGCCTTTCTCTTCTTCCTCCTGTCCTCGTTTTCGATTCGTCTCATTAGCTCTTTATTTATACCATACCGTCCTTATGGCTCCTTGAATCTCTCCATTGAACCCTTACTTCTTATTCCTCTCTCTCTCTCTCTCTCTCTCTCTCTCTCTCTCTCTCTCTCTCTCTCTCTCTCTCTCTCTCTTCTTTCCTCCCTCTCCCTCGCTTCCGTCGTTTCCTTCCCTCCCTCCCTCCCTCTTCCTCCCTCCCTTCCTTCCTCCCTTCCTTCCTCCCTTCCTTCCTCCCTTGCTTCTTTTCTCTCTCGCTCCTCTCTCTGTCGATTGCTCCCTCGTTCCCTCACCCCTTCCCTCTCTTTCTGTCTGCTTGTCTGTCTGTCCCCGCCCTTCATCCCTGCATTCCTCTTTTTTGCCGCCTTGCTTTTCTCCCTCCCTTCTCCTTCTCCCGCCCTTCATCCCTGCCTTCCTCTTTTTTTCCGTTTTGATTTGTTCTGTCAAACTTTTACCGTCAGCAACGTTTTCAATTGGCCAGCAGATATGCGGATTTTGTTCTTTTTTTTTTTTTTTGTTGGCTTCTCTTCGCTTTCCTCGAATATCATCAGGAAAGCGAAGAGGAGCCAAAAGAGAGGAACGATCGAAGACAGACAACTACCAGCGAACGCGCAGCAGCCTTTGTGACCCCGCTTTTCGCTTTCCCCGCTTAAGAAAGAAAACAAACGAGAAAATTCCACAGCAAAGAGAATATTTGAAATTCCCCCT